ATACAAGTCACTAGGCCTAAAAGACATATCTTACATAGTTCTTTATTCCTCTTCCCTTAATTCTTCGATTTCTTCTTTTGCTGAGTTTACACCAATACAAGTCACTAGGCCTAAAAGCCGTATCTTACATACTTCTTTATTCCTCTTCCCTTAGTTCTTCGATTTCTACTTTTGCTGAGTTTACACCAATACAAGTCACTAGGCCTAAAAGCCGTATCTTACATACTTCTTTATTCCTCTTCCCTTAGTTCTTCGACTTCTACTTTTGCTGAGTTTACACCAATACAAATCACTAGGACTAAAAGCCGTATCTTACATACTTCTTTATTCCTCTTCCCTTAATTCTTCGATTTCTACTTTTGCTGAGTTTACACCAATACAAGTCACTAGGCCTAAAAGCCGTATCTTACATACTTCTTTATTCCTCTTCCCTTAGTTCTTCGATTTCTACTTTTGCTGAGTTTACACCAATACAAATCACTGGGCCTAAAAGTCGTATCTTAAATACTTCTTTATTCCTCTTTCCTTAGTTCTTCGATTTCTACTTTTGCTGAGTTTACACCAATACAAGTCACTAGGCCTAAAAGTCGTATCTTTAACTAATCACCGTCCGAGTTAAATGAAACAATTCTTTTTACTGATCTTTAAACGGAAACAAATCACTGTAAAAATATGAAACTAAGTAGTTCGAATTATGTATTATTTATTGATATTAAAGCATATTTAGCTACCCACTTTTGCGCATACTGAGCTTTTATAACGTTACTTAACACTGTTACAAGCGACACTTGAACATGTTTACACGTGAGAAAAGTGTCATAGCATGTAGCACTTCCAATTGATAACCACGTGCTCCAAGTTATTGAAAAACAATAATCTGTACCCTTTTGATATATATATATATTTTGCTAGTTCAATAACATAACTCGGAGATAACCAACGGTCATTTTAATGCCTGCTTATTAATCTAATATCACATTAAGTGTTTATGACAATCATAAGGAATAATTCTCAATATAAACTTTTATGTATATGAAATCTTTCCAGAAAACAAGACCTATTTAACTAGAAGTCCATCCTTACCCGAAGAGTCTTCAAGTAAGGCACGTGCGTTATTTATTGACTCCATTCTTAAGCCAGAATATCGACCCTTGGGTTTAACTTCTTGGTCCTCTGAACTCTCATCTGATGACCATCAAACATCGACTTCTTTCCCTGGTCCCTCCGCTTCGACCTCCTCACTTTTTAGTCTGGTAACTCAAGATCCAGGAGGATTCTTGTCGTCAGCTTATGAGAAAATGTTTCGACCCTTTCCCGGAACACTATGTTCCCGATTCGGGTTTCCCTTTTACAATCCCACAACCCCCTGTTCTAGTAAGTCTGGATTTTCTGTTTTGTCCGAGCCTGACACCATAGTCAACCCCATAGCTGCTGGTGATGTTTTTTCTTGCGTCAAATGTAACAAAATGTTTAGTACCCCCCACGGTCTGGAGGTGCACGCGCGCCGATCCCACAGTGGCAAGAGACCTTTCGCCTGTGAACTCTGTAATAAAACCTTCGGTCACGAAGTAAGTTTGAGTCAGCATCGTGTCCTCCACACGGCAGAGAAGAGTTTCCAATGCAAGCAGTGCGGGAAGACTTTCAAGAGATCGTCCACTCTGTCCACTCACCTGTTGATCCACTCGGACACCAGACCTTATCCATGTCAGTACTGTGGAAAACGGTTTCATCAGAAGTCAGACATGAAGAAACACACTTATATCCACACAGGTCAGTGATAGATAGATAGATGTGCAGGTAATTTTGTTTTTGCTTGCTTTTAAAATCAACCAAAAGTACCATTGACATATACTAAATACAACCACTACATAAAATGGCAGTTACTATGATAAGCACTACCCACATTCATATTGTAAAATCCAGGGAACAACCTGGTCTAATATTATCCCTTCCCTTGGCACCATTTTGAATACCTACTCTTTCTGTGACTGGAGAAAAGGTTCTCATTCTCTTTTTTTTTTAAGTGTTTGAGCTAATTTGGAAGGAGTGTTTATTAGAAATTTAATATTTTAGTTTCTCGGCCTTTCACAGTGACCGGTCCAATTTTATTGACATTTCTCCACTTGTTTCGTGTGTTTTACACAGGAGAGAAGCCTCACAAGTGTGGTATATGTGGTAAAGCGTTCAGCCAGTCGTCCAACTTGATCACCCACAGTAGAAAGCACACTGGTTTCAAACCTTTCTCCTGTGACGTCTGTGGGCGCGCCTTCCAGCGGAAGGTGGATCTCCGACGTCACAAAGAAACTCAACACATAAGAAGCCCAGCAGTTACACCAGTAGGAGGAAACGGATGTGACGCAAAGTAACTTATTGCAGCCAATAAGAACTTGGCTTTTGATGTTACGCTACTACTTTGTCAAGTACGACTGAGTAACGAAACATAACAGAAACTTATGATGTTAATAGAGTATACAACGTCAGGTTATAGCTATTTATATATATATATATATATAAGAAATGTATATGTCAGTGTGGTGACTAAATAAAGTTAGACTTGGTCAAACTCGTTGTAACTGAAGGCAGTGATTACTGTTGTCATTAGACTTGGTCAAACT